TATATATTATGTGTGTGTGTGTGTTATACGTATTAAAACTTAACATATTTATGAACTTTCATAAATAACATTAAATGTTAAAATACTGCATTGGAAACTTTTGACATTTAATAAACAATTAATGAAAATGTTGTAGAATCGTAAGAAAATATATATATATATAAATATTTAATATTAAGAAATTCATAACTTTTATGCCATATAATATGTACATGCTTTTCTGTATTAGTTCAAAATATATTGAAGACATTATATCTACTCAGATTTTATATCGATTTTATTTGCCCAAAGCATGATTATGAACATAACTTATGCAGTCTCAGTCTTAGGGGTAAAAAGTTTTAGGAAATTATAGTCAATCACGAAATAACTCAACATTCATAACATATCATACATTTATGACAATAATATATATATATTTTAAAAGATCAAAATCTCTTGATATTTTGACTATTAACAAGAATGTTTGATCTTTTTAATGAAATAGAGAAGCTGACATTTCGAGATATATTTATGATATAAAGCTGCAATTTGAAAATTTTCTTGCAGTCTGTTCCTTAAATCTGTGAGAGATGAATACCATAAAACAACAAAGTTTGATTTACAATATAAAAATAGAAATTATAAATTATATTTAATAAACGCGGGAAAAATATATATTTCTACTTAATAATCAGATTTGCCTTACTGTTATACAAAACGTTACACATAGGGGTTTGAATGTATTATTTAATAACGCTACATATATAAAAATTAAAAAGTTTACTATTACAAATAAATGAAGAGGTAGTTGTATATCAACATGATTTAAATAAATGAAAAAATTATTGTTTGCTTATATCAAATATTCTATATTCTAAAATGCAAAATTTTTTATCAGATATCAAATGTAATCAAGAATGTTCTCCAATGTATATAAGTTTACCTTCCAAGCCTATACTGCAGACTTTGTTGGGAACATCTAAGAATGATATGTATGATTACATTGTAATATCTTAATTATATCACACGCATCACACTCTCCCAGCAAGAAGTTTTTTGTGCTTCGTGCTTGTTATCATTTCCCATTTCATATATCGCTCTCATTCTCGGAAGAACTGCTATCGAAACCTTCGTCATGACCCACGTAGTTAGCATCATCTAAATTTAAAAAATAAAATAAATATTAAATTAAAAAGTAATATAAATATTATAAATATATTTTTTCCCTGTACAAACGGTGCAAAGATAAGGATACAGTTACCTGCAATTTCATCTTCGGGATCCCTCAAATTTTGCCGATCTTGTATATCAAAGTCAAGTGGATTGGCCATGTCCAATAATCTCAATAGCCATATAGGAAAACCGTTTTGCATTACGTAAATGTCGTTTTCATTCTCGAGATCGTTTTCCAGTACATCGATAAATGGTTGCAAGTTTTCAATATCGTTAGCATCCACAGCCATCATATTGTTACCCTCATCATCCCTATTATTGTTCGCCAAATCACCATTTTCCACCTCAATCGGTTCCAAAACGCCGAGTCTTGGCGCTTCCGCAATGCTAGGCGATTCAGAATCCGGTATATGATCTTGAGCTATGCTGGACAAATCATATTCTGGTGTTATATCTTGCACGGATGCTGAATTTGGGTAACCGGAATCCATAATTTCGGGAGACCAACTGTTCGGAGGGGTCTCAAAAGGAGAAACTGACTTAGCTTCGATATTATTTATTAATCCAACAATATTTGACGTATTTACATCTTTGCTTGTACCAACAATCTCTTCACTTTTTTTTGATACTGATGCAAACTGAACATTATTTGTATCTTTATTACTGCTACTAGATACAAGTCTATCATTTTCTAAAACACTAGTCTTTTTGGCACATTCAGTAGAAGAGCATTCGCTATTGTTCTGCGATTTGAAATTCGATAATTCTTTAGGCGGATTTAAGCTCTTTTTCCTCACATTTGGCTGTGTAAAATCAATCATGTTTTCTTGGTGCTCATTCGTACCATTATCATTTGTCTTTGTTAATGTACAGCACACGTTTTCTTCTTTGTTGTCAATATTCTTATTGTTCGATGACAAACTGTGGTGTACATCTACATTTTGTACATTATCCGCGAAATCGGACTCACGATTGATTACAACGTTCCTCTCTACAAATTTTTCATCTGTACCTTGCGTTGATTCCACAACTTCGGTAAATTCTTTATTCTCTAAACACAAATGTTGCTGTGCGTTATTGCTATCGAGACATAAGTCTACATTATTTTTTGAAATATTAGTAATATCATCGCTTAAAGAACTTGCGCACAATGTAACTGTTTCTGTAATAGTACTGTTACTAGATTTCTGACTAATATCTTTTAATGAACTACTGTTAGTTTCCAATACAGTTTCGTTAATTGTTTCTTCTATACATGATAAGATGTTCCTATTTACTGCATGCAGTTCTTTCAATTCGGGACAGTTTTGTTTAATTATATTGGTAAATGGCTTTGTAGAAGCTTTAGGTGAACTTGTAAATCTTGGTTGATTATTAACACCACTACTACTGCTACAAATATTTAATGGTACCATATCTGCCATATCATTCTTTTCATGAACTTGATTCTTAACTGAAATCATTTGTTCAAAATTACAACTATTGTCTTTTTCCGAAAAACTTTTTTTAAACGGCACGGAAATTAAATTTCGGCATTTCTTTTCAGTAAATTTTTCTATATTCATAGCCGGCTTATTTGCCATTTCAAATTGTTGAAAAGTACTGTTTAATGAAAACTGGTAAAACTTGTTGCATGATCCGTTTTGATAACTCGCGTTATGATATTCTGATAAGGAATGTTCACCATCAAATAAATAAGTATTTTCTCGGACAATAGAGCGATTTTCAGGTATGATGATGCTGGGTTGTTCATCCCAATTTTCAATGTACGAACTTCGTCCAGAAGATATCTCACTTCCTAATGATTCATCTTCAAACTTCAAATCGTTTATATTTCCTTCATTTATCAAATCAGCATTATCCCTATGAAACTTTTCATCTTCATCCTCACACTCAGAAGAAGAAACATCAATTTTTACTATTGGTCCATCTTCTCCATCTTTGATAATCCAATTTGCATCTGTTAAAACCTTTCTCAGCGTTTCTATTGTGACATTGAAATTTTTTTCTTCCAAATAAGGTAATATATCACTTAGAATTACTTCATCTCGACTCTCCTCAGTGTAGGCTAGATTAATGATATGATATGTCGCTTCATGCAGTAATTTTTCCTTGTCTGAACGATTGTCAACATATATAGGATAATCATATTTAGCCACTGTCTTAAATAATCCATCTACTCCTATTATTTTATTGCATTCTTCTATCAATGAATGTCGGTGAAATACTGCCATTTGTGTGCATGTACCTAATTCCTCAGTGCCCGCAGGTCCTTTACAAATTCCATGAAATGTCACACTATAAGATGGATATCTCACCACAATATTTCGTGCCCTGTTGACGAAATAATAGTATAAACATCAAGGAAATTTTCTACAATAATCATAAAAAAAAAAAAAAAAAAAAAAAAAAAAAAAAAAGAGAGAAAAAAACTTTTACTTAACACACACACATACTGTCGCGCCTCGTTGTGTTACGGACGAATTCCACCGAGAGTTCGAGATACCGTTTTCTCGGCGACAGCACGCTCTCTCGATTTAGCGACGACGAGTAACGATATTTCGGGGTGATGTCTCGCGCGTTCGCGCGACACGACGATCCTCTTAAAGCGCGTCCAGACTTGTAATGTTATCGTTATATCATATCATTATGTCATATTGCCGTAAAGTTATCGATGACATTTATTTGTCACGATTCGTTGTAATACGCATAATTAAAACCGAGAGGTAAAAAAAAAAAGGTAAAAAAAGTTACATATATAGACACAAATTCTGTCCTTTTACATATTAAACTATAAACTATAAAAAAATTTCCTTACACGCGATATATATATAACGTTACGAGTCTAAGAACGCTTTTAGCTTCCGCAAAAACTGCCGATGTAGACGAGGGGAGTGTCTATGCGATACTTATTACTTATTACAACTTTCCGTCGAGTCCCAGTCGGAAAGACGGTTCCTCGAGAAGACGTCTTCGACTCGGCTAGGACTCGCGGTAACAGGAGTTACGCATCTTTCTCCGCGCAGACACACTTCTGTTTTTCTCGCACGTGCGGCCGCGCGAGCCCCTTTTAACGTACTAAATTTGTAACACGTTTATATACCATAAACGAGAGAGCGTCTCTCAACACGAGAGGCTTGGTTGGTCGTCACATATTGTCATCCCTTCGGGTACAAGTGTCACACGCTCTCGGTATATATCCGTTGCATCGTTTTTCCGGATCTTTTTTCTAGAATAAAAATTCTGAGCAAGGATCTTGTTGCATTATTGTTTCGTACTCGCTCGATCTTCTTAGGATCTCGTCCTCGTGACGGCACTTTTTTCTATGAACTTTGCGATACAAATTGTTTACTGATTACAGATTGGGGTTTGCTTGATGTAGTTTTCTCTGTCTGTCTCCGTTATTATTGTTGTTATTTACTGTACTTTTATTGTTATTGTGTCGTCGATCAATCGGGAATGAGAGGAATTGGGATGCACGAGAAGTAAACGTACAGCGATATTATCCGCGATATTGTGCGGTATTACAGGATAGAATAACGGAGGCTGCAATGACAACTCGTTCGCTCACGCATTTGTCCGATTTCGTTGTCGACGACCAAGCCCAAACCGCATTTCGGGTTTTCTTTTTCGCTACCCCCCCGAGAGGGACGCGCGACAGCTCTCCTCCGATCGAGAGAGAAAGAAACGAGGAACTCTCACGTCTTTATTGTAATTCGTTCCGTTTGTCTCTCTTTTCGTCTCCTTTTCTTTCCTTTTTTTTTTTTTT